AATGGTAACAGAATTGATTCAAATAGAAATGGAAGTGATTTCATTGTTGCATTCATTCATATACATTACATCATTATGTTGGAACAGCTTCATGTTACTAACTGGCTTACCTAGCTAGCTATAGGCTAACATAGTTATCTAAACTAAATGGCAAACTTAGATATTTTAGTGTGACTAATGTGAAATCACGTCAAATTTGAATTACTATCAAATCAGCTTCTTAATTGTAATTTCGAGTCAGTGATTTGGGGAATTTCAACAGCCATGAGACCATCCATTTGGTGAAAACAACTAGAGCAGTGTCATCAGAGAGGAGGCCAAAAAACTAAAGCCATCGTGGCTGACATTTTCCTCTAAATAAAATCCAGTATTAACACTGATACAATCTAATCAGCTAATAGGAGGCTATGTTTGTTTTCTGGTTTCACTTCTTTACAAGCTAGGGGGGGTGCCGTAGATGGTGCCGGTGTGTGTAACACAATAGCTTTTAATGATGGTTCCATCCAGGTGTGCTTGATAAATGTTGGAACCAGATGCATATAAATGATGTATAGCTCATTTTTGATTAGCAGGACTGACTGAATTAGAAATAATAATGGATTTGATTTAAATGGAAGGACCAGCTATGTTTGCTTTGCATCCACTGTTGATTGATATTTTGCTGAATGATGAGTGAGTCATAACTTGACTCAGACTTACAACTAGAGGGCTGATACAGACGATTGTTTGGCTGGCTGTAATTATAGTCTGAATGCCTTGTTTTCAAATTAAGCAGCCTTCTTTGAGAGCAAAAAGTAAAATAGCTAACTGATATTTAAATGATACCACTTTACCTCAAATTAGCTGGGTGTCAATGGGCCGGTAAAGTGTATTTTTTCAGGTCAGAAAGGGTTTCCATCTTAAACCAGAAATACTGTGTTTTTTTGGCTCTACCCACTGAGGATTAACTCAGCCAAAGAGGTTATTTCTCCTTCTAGAGTGGCTTCAGCTCAAAACATTTGCCTATCTAAGACTCCAATCTGCCTTAAGGCCTTTTGCACACCGTAAGTCCGTATTTTCCGTCTAAAATTGTTACAGGTAACACACCTTCAACAGGTCAGATAATATTTACGTGAATGATGACGAGGAGCAGGATGAAATAAGGGATGAGGACAGCACACAGACGGAGCGACAGTGTGGAGGCAGAGAGGGAGGGCAGCTCAGCCTCTTCAGGTAGCCGCGCTGGCAAAGCTTCCTCCAGTGGAGAGAAGCGAGGGAGAGAAGCTGACAGATGAGGTGTCCAAAAAGCATCCTCACTGCTTGACAACTCCATTTTGTCTCCTATTGTGAATTTTAGCAAGCAATAGAATAATAAAACGCATCGGACTCAATTTGCCTGGTTTCTTTTTTATCAGATAATGCGTATAAAAATACAGACTTGGTGTGCAAAGGGCTTTATTGTGAGGAAGTGTGCTGTGCATGCACTCACCATACAGTATGTTACAGTGCTCTGTCTCACTGCTGTCTCCTGTCTTGTCTCGGTTTACTCGGCTGGCTCGGACTCGGATCGTTGCCTGCCTGCCTGCGTGCCTGCCTGCCTGCCTGCCTGTGTGTGTTCATGTCCTGTTCCTGCACAACCACCACCACCTCCACCACCACCTCTCTGTCGCCCCCTCATCTGAAGGCTATGAGAAATCCCGGAGCTTAAACAACATAGCGGGCATGGCTGGTAACGCCCTGAGGTTGTCTCCTGTGACCTCGCCCTACGGATCGCCCTGCCCGCTGCGGCGCTCTCGCTCCCCTATACCCTCCATCCTGTGAGACATCCAGCCCTGGGCCACTTTGGCCTAAACCACCCCACATCCTACTCCCAAAGCATCCACCTACCCTTGCTATTATATCTGAACTCTGTTCTAGATTGTGACTAGTGGATAAGTACTTAACTTTGTAGCTAAGACTAATGTTAGTGGCTTGGGCAACCTGAGCAACTCCTCACTTTCCCCTTTTTCTTTGAAGGTACATGTGCTTAGCTAACATCCTTAAGTAACTGGTCAGTTCTCCTTTGTCACTTGGAGTTCCCTTTGGTTCAATATTGTTGTACCTTGAGACTTGCAATAAAAGAACTCTTGACTGGTGGCTTCAGAAGTAGCAGCCATAGCGTTTAATAAAGGACAAATTAATAATCAGGGATATTAGAAGTTGCTATATTTAGATACCTTGAAAAAGACGTGCTTCCAAAAAAAGAAAGAGAGATGTCCCATCATTTTAACCTCATACGACTGTGACTTTGTCTTTGATTTGCTACTTTATTTTTGGGATGGAGACGGGAGGGATGGGCATCGGAATGGAGGATTTGTCTTTCAGGACTGTGTTTCACCTGCTGTTGGGCCTGCTAATGTATTTGCATGGATCATCTTGTAACCATCGTCTGCAAGCAATGTGGCAAGGGGATATGGGCCGGGGCAGACAGTGAGGAGAGCTTAAGGATATATATTCTATATATATATATATATATATATATATATATAAGAAGGAGTATTTTTTTATTTTACGTTATTATGTTGGGGTTTGAGGGGGCTACACTTGACTTGTGTTGTGTCTCATTGCCATTGGCTTCACCAACAATCCACCTAAGAGACTACAGAAAGAATGCCAAATGGGTGTTCATTTCTCTCGTGGGCATGTGGGTTTTTGCTTGTCTGCTGCTATTTCCGATTAACTTACTCCCCACCTCCTTTATGCTTTCTTTTCTTTGATGGAGTGCCACCATATCAGTTGTGTCTCTGGTTGTTTACTCACAGATCACTGCAAAGAGGTTGTCTTTACTGGTTTCACACAAGCAGAGAGCAGTGTTCTATCTTAATGGCCTGCGGAAAGGCACCACCATGGCGGAAAGGTAACCGTCTGACCAAGTGTAAGGATCAAATTACAGTTTGGAACCCTCTCATCCTTTTGGCCATGAATTAAGATTTTTATTTGTCTGTGCACTAAAAATGGGGGGTTATTCAATAAAACTACGAAAAGATACCTGTATGTGGTTACAGAGACAAACGCCAACAGATATGCACTCCTGGTGGCACCATTAGAGGTGCTGTTGTAGCATTTAAATCTGTGGTTATGACCACAATAATATTGAGACATGTAAGTGTTATTAGTGTAAACAAATGACACCATCACTTTGGGAAAAATAAACTGCATATTGCATCATGTGAAACCATATTTGGACAAATCTGCATGATTTACATCCCATGTTTATTGCAAAAAACAAACTTTTTCCACTTCTGCTTCCTGAACTGCAGTTTCATTTCATATCAGCCACCACCAAGGGCTATTATTAACTGCTCTCAAACCAGACAGACTGACCTAAATTCCCTTAGAACAGTATGGAGTGTCTCTCAAATCTCATATAAAACTGAAACAGCCTTTGCTTTGTCATTTATTCATTCACGACAGACATAAATTGCCTCTGTGCACCAACAGGTGTGTGACAGCAAACATAACCATGCAGTAATGTGCCTCACCCATCCCTACAGTATGTCTATACCAGTAGCAATGGTTGCTTAGCAACTGGCTCACAGCTAGATGCATCTTACACATAGCTGGGCAAAAAGTCAAACAATTAAAAAGAAGAGCTTTCGCAAACATTTCTCTTTGTCTGTACACCAAATTATTGAATCACTCCCACTTAAACCACTGCAATACACAATAGAGCTTTTATAACTCTGGATATATGCTGAAAGAGCACCATAGATTTGTACTATGTTCTCATTTTGTGTTCATATAGAAAATAGCCAGACTGTGCATGGCAAGTTCTTCTGAAATGATGCTCAACAAAGACAGATTATGCATTTCTGATATTTAGAGATGTGTTTATTTTATTTAGACAATTCATTTCCTATTTGAATGGCGATGGGATAAGTCATCATTGTGAGGACCTATTCCAGTGGGAGGACCCCATTTGGAGCCACAAGGCCACTCCTACAGGACAATAAGGACGAGGAGGCATGTAAAACCACTGACTGACAGCGGCCTAGCCAACGGCTCAGTGAGCAAGAAAGGAACTTAATGACCTGAAGGGAATCCTAGGAGGACTTTCATAAGAATTTAACTTTTCCCGATGTTTCTTTTTGTTTTTCTGTTTTGGTACTGTGGAGGGGGGAAAGGATAGCAAAGCAAACTGGATACATCCTTAAAAGAGACTATCTACTGTATAGATATTGCTCCTGTAAATAAGAAAACAACACAGCACATCTGGGCTAAGCAGCTCTGTCCACACATCTGTCTTATGATGGTGAGTCAGGTAACAAGGTGGTTGGTTGGTAAGTTGCACCGTGACACTCTAAGTCAATCACTTTTCTTGCTGTGGTATCCCTCCTCGCAATAAGTGTACTAAGATGTATCGGTTGAGGCACTTTGTGTTCTAAAAATGGAGTGTATTCATATATGAAATTCTACATACAGTATATACAGTACAGAGAGACAAACGTGCTAAGTTGAATAAATGTGACATTATGGTCATCTCTGCTTTGTTTCCCTTGGTAATTTTCGGTAGGTAAATTGCTCTGCTGTGTGTTAATGTGTGTGTGTGTGTATCCTAAAACTCCAGGGTAAGATCTGCAGTTTGAAAGGCCAGGTTAGCGGATACCAACGAGTGGACTGTCACTCTTCCAGTTAGTTTTAGCACAAACATGAATGAGACAGAGTTCCCCTGCAGTCGCCATTGTAGAAGTCCCCCCCCCCCGGGGTCGTGCATTGAACATGCAACTGCCCTGCGTTTGTGCTGCAGACGTTTGTCTCTTCACAAACCAAATTATTCTTACCAGACTATTCCTCATAACTCCTGGTGGCTACAAAAAACTGCATAACTTGATTCTTCCAAACTTTTCCCCTTGTGGGGGTGGAGCAAAAGTGTAGCAGAAGTTTACCAAGTTATAAAGCTGGACTTCTAGAATGGCTACATCTGCACAGTAGCAATCCTATGTACCCAAACAATCAGATCGGATTTGCAATAAGCACCCGAAAACAAAAAGCGCCGATCCACACTGTGATTTCAGCAGCCCATTAAAACGAGACGGCAGAAGGAAAACAGAGTGAAAATGCAGCTCTACAAGCTGATAGAAAGGACTGGCAGGTGGCCCAACGTATGTGTCATGTTGGTTGCGACCTGCACAGTTGTTGGCTAGCTGTCAAGTGTCACCCTGTACCCACAATCCTCCTCGTGTAGTACACAACGCTGCTTTACTCTTTGAATTGACAAAGGGGTACCGTTCTATGTGTATTTTTAGGATGACGTAACTTGAAAAAAGGTGTTTATTTTTTTGAATCCAGAACATGTATTTTTGTGTCTTACTGTTGGGTACACTGCTCTAACCTGTAAAAGTCATGGTAGTCTGATGTTGTGCTTCTCCATCGTGTCCTCAAACCGTCAGGCTTTTGATCCGAGTTCATGTTTTGTATGTTTTACTGTGAGGAAAATTCTAGTTTGAAGTCTGTATTTGTGGAGCCTTTTGTTGGCATTCTAAAGTGCATGCTGAAAAAAAACATTATGTCAAATTGTTAAAAAATAAAAAGATGACATACTGTGTACCACGTTCAGAACAATGTGTATAGAGTAAAGGTAAATGCTGTGTGAGAGATTCACATAAACTATTTATCTTTTAACTGGTGGTTTCTTTCTTTGCTTCATCTGACCTGTTTTCTCCCTAACAGTTGTAGTGGACATAAAGCAGGCCAGGTGTCAGGTGTGATGAAGAAGTTCTTAGAGACTCATGATGACTTACACAGCATTGTTTATTGAGCTCAGCCAGGGAGACTGGTAACACCATACAGCATGCAAACACAGTGTAGTACCAAACCAAATGTAACGAAAACTTCCTTGGTCCAAAATATTTAATTCCCTTAGTGTCTATGGGCTTTCCCTACAAGGTTATCTTGTCTTATCTGGCCTACATATGCTGATGTTTATGTCACATTGAAATCTAATGGTCTCATGTTTTTGCACTCTAATCTGTGGAGACAGTGAGTTGTGCTCCATACTTAGGTAAAGTCATGACAATTGAGCAAACTCCATGAGATGCAGTTGAAAGCTACTGAATACGCATTGTACATAGACTTTGCCAAACTACAACTACGAAGCATAACCTTGAGTTTCATCTCATAGTTTAAAATAAATCTGGAACACTAAAAGCAAGAAATGGCAGGGAAAATTCAAAGAAAAAGAATCCTTAGATGTGACATTAGAAAGACATTAGACGTTATTTGAGTTTAGTTTGTCTCTTAGCCTCTAAGTTGATACCCATAAGAAACTGCTCCATTTAAACAATGTTATATCATGGAGTGGCTTATAAATAGCACGCCACTTTTAAAGACATTTTGGCGTGCAATGTCAACGCATTTTAAGCATTTCACATGTCATTTCACACTGTTCAGTCCCTATAGACCTAAGCAACACAAAGGAGGTTAACCCTATCTGCTAGCTGATCAGCTGCTAGGCGGATCTGCACAGCTGTAGGGTTAACCGGTCGACATGCATATATAATTAATGATGGTTAAGGTTAGCAGAAAAGTACATCGGGGGGGAGGGATGTCAACGTTAGCATTGTTAGCTAGCTAACACTATGTAGCTAACGTAAGCAACATAGCTAATGCTGTGTAGCTAACGTAGCTAATGTTAGCAGCAATGTAGCATGGTAACGTACGTAACGTAACTTAAAGTAACGTAAATAAAAACCAAAATCAAATTTTGTGTAGTTGTTGTTTAACTCGGGAACCGAATGCCAGTTTCCTGGGTCAGGGTCCAACTTACTATCCACCCAACCACCCCTCCACCCCTCCACCTCCTTGTGTCAGGACTTTCATGGCTCGCCCACACACGTTGATTTTACCTGTGACAGTAGGCGTAAAATGGCCGTTTAGACTGCATTGACTTTTATTGTGCAGAAAAACACGCGACATGCGAAAAACAAAAAATGCCTTGGAATACCACGCCAAATGAAAGAAAGAAATCGGAGTGTTATTCATACGCCTTTTGATGTTACCAGGCTGATTTAAACCCAATTAAATAGCATACAAACAAATGCATATTAAACCACTTGTTTTGTTAGGTTAAGTTGTTTTGACCCTGGTATACCTACTTGCAGGTTTAGTATATATTGCATGAATTATGGGGAACTAAATGTATTACATATTTTGAAATGCAAGCTTGGCTGCTTTGCATGCCTGGCTGACCTGTCACACATAGGAGCAAAAAGGTTACACTGGCAAATCATAGAAATTAGTGTTTTTCAGTTCAGTCAAGTTATGTCCCTTTAACTGAAATGATAGAATGCTGCATGTTGAACCAGCTGGTCTGTTGTTGCTGTTGGATGTTTTATGCAAAAATCAGTCAAAAGGTTCTTCTGTATCTTCATCCTATAATGAGACCTGACCAGGTTTGAGGGGGCCTCTTTGTTCAACCCTGCGTCTACCCACCCTCCTGCAAGATTTCTAGCCATTACCGTGCCACTCCTGCTGCGATTCTGATCACTCCCTTTGTTATGTTTACAAAGTCTGACTGCTCATCTTGCAGGGGAAACAAGATACATGGAGCCATTACAGATTATTTTATTTTTAAAAAGTACAAATTCAAGACCGGAATCTGTAGCAACAGATACAAACCAGATGCTGGAACATCAGGTTTCGGCAGAGACTGTCATATTATTTCGAGATATGATTTGGACAAAGGATGAAACATTCAAATGTTACCGGTATGTACACAAAATCTATGTATCTGAGTATGTAACTAAACACAATACTACTGAGTGGAAGTGAAAGATGTAGGTGTATGTGACATCTGCCATACCTAACACCAGAATGTCATTCAGTATAATGTGCAAAATCTCATTTAGTGGGTAGGTGTTGTTGTAGCCTCACGTTATCATTTACTGTAATAACACAGGTGTGCTTAACTACTAGCATCATGCCTAGTGCAGCCGTCAGTGTCATTTCCCAGTGAGAGTAAAAAGCAAACAAAACAGCCGGTGCCTAAGAACAGCAGCAACATTTGTCTGGCGGCCGGCGTTGATTTCTCCCACAGGTTCAGGCTGAGATAATGATGAGCCAGAGCTCTCCTCTCCCACTTCCTGTGTACCATGTTCATTCTTCAAGTCACGTCTAGTAATCAGCAGCGCTCGGCGCACTGTATCTCTGACACATCCCAACTATCTTTACTCCCGTCGCCATGGAAACAGCCATAGATGTGCCAAAGAGATGTAAACAGCCAGAGCTGAGAGTGTGTTTTTCAGGACAGCCCCCCCACCCCCACTCCCCCTTCCTCTATTTCACCCTCTCCCTCCTCCACCCACCCACCCTCAACCTTCCTTCCTCGGGAGGGGGCGGAGTGTACGGTACCAGCTGCTGAAAATCCAAAATACCAAATTCGTGACATGAATATTGCATCAGAGGCTAAACTTCCTGGTTCTCGCTCAGTGAAGCACAAATTTCTCCCAGACCAACCTAACAAGCATGTGTATATGGATATATCCACAGCAGGTCCTATATTTTTTTAATTTTTTTTATTAATGTTAGTTTTAGATGCGTACAAGACTGCGCCACTGACATACTGTAGATTCACTGCTGTATATTAAAATCTACAACCCACAACAAGAAGGTCAGGTGCAACACAAGGACACACTGATGACTTGAGTCTTTCTGGTAGTGGGGGCAAAAAATGTAAAGTCTGTACTGGGGGTGGAAATTAACTTTTTGGCTCACCTGCCAAGGTGGCTGGTAGATGAAAAAAATCCACCGGCTAAGTGTATTTTTTACCAACCAAAATAATAAATTGAGTTTTTGTGTCACATACGTTTGTTTCTGTACTTTTATTTATTATTGTGAGGGGTGATGATGGCACAGTGGGTAAGATGCACGCCTTAGGTGTGAGAGACCCGGGTTCAATTCCAATCTGTGGCACTGTGTCCACCAACGTGTCCCTGAGCAAGACACTTAAGCCCCAGTTGCTCCAGAGGCGTGTGACCTCTGACCTAAAAAGCAATTGTAAGCCGCTTTGGATAAAAGCGTCAGCTAAATGAAAATGAATAAATGATAATAAGGTAATATGTCGAATACAAACTTAAAAACATGAATACACCAGAGTGAAATTTTAAGCTAAATTATATTATTGCTATTAATTGTACTTAAAACATAAAATTAAATTGTTTTCTAAACATACAAGATGCTTATTAATCATTCAACTTAAACCTTATCACTGCTCACTCTTGTCATGCTTTATCATTCAACTTAAAGCTCCCCATCAGACTGCTCACATCCACTGACTGGACCACCAACTTTATTTTTTTATGTTCAGCTTCAGCCTCCTCTAACTCTGCTTTTCGTTTTGTTGGTTTGGTGGTAACGTTAAATGTCACCACATTACGCTGGTGGCTAGCCAGCTAAAAGCTAAAAACACTCCAAGTAACAACTTTTGTAATTAGCTCTTAACAAACTTGTGTTCAGTTTGAATTAGCGAATGCGACATGTATGTGGATATTCTTTCCGCATTGATCTCCAACTGTTACACTCACTCTCCCTTCTTTCCCTCCTGTCCACTAACGCCCACCCCCTTGCAAATCTACGCCAATCAAACACAAGTAATGTGAAATGAATATAAACAACAACCAATGAACCCCCTAATCCGTGTATTACACGATTTAAGATCCCTACATTGGGGGTTGTGTGACACACAACCAGCAAGAATGCCGGTCTGCTGTTACATACATTTACCCGCCTATGTGGTGGGTAGCCTTCCAACATTTAGCGGCCAAACGGAAAATCCACCTGCATTTGGCGAGTATTAATTTCCATCCCTGGTCTGCACTTAAGGTTGCTGCTTGAGAAAACTCCTGGGGTCATTCAAATTGAAAGCTTTTATCCCCTGTCATTATGCATTATTAATAAATGCAGCAGCATTCCAATCATTTCCTGTCAGTATAAAATGGTAAAATAAAATTTCTTCTATAGGAACTTTATAAAACATATACAGTAAAGATTATACTGTACATCTGTTTACATATAGTGTACACAATGATTATGTATTACGCAATTGGGACACTGAACAACCCAGAAAAAGTACATGGATTATTAATATAAAAAATGGTTAACTGTCCATTTCTGAATAGAGACACTAAAAATGTATACTAACACAGATGTTTTGATAAAAGCACACTTGACATTACACTGATGACTGTCAGCCTTTTGTATTTATACACCCTGTTTAAATGTAAGCAAGATGCTGACATCTGAAGCTGTCATACTGCAGTGTGGCATTTAAATCCTGATAAGTGCCATGTAATGAGACTGGCATAGTTGAAGAGGGCAGTGTGAGTCAGCTGGTAGAGTGGGGTCTCCGTTTACAGGCTTTGTTCCAGGTGTATACTCAAAAAGCCACGGGGACGCTCTCAATTACTCACACGCTGACATGGAGCCCCTTATTGACAAGCACAAGGGCAGCATGTAGTGGCGTGCGCTAAGTGCTGGGACACACATGGGCTGTAAATACCTGCTCTAGCTCTGGGAGACAACAACAAAAAAAAAGAAAAACAAAGTAGC